AGAAACATGCCCTGAGCACACGTATTTCCATTGCCTTGATTTAATGGTTAACATTTTGCCCCATTTGCTTCATCTATTTTTTTGTTGCATTGGTTTGGAGCAAATCGTAGCCATCGTGACATTTCACCCCTGAATACATCATTGTGCATCTCTGAAAAATAAAGACAATTTCCTACAGGACCCATGTCCATTTTATGTGAGGAAATGCCTCATATCACCAACTCTAGTGATATTTTTCCGGCTCCTTTTCTTAGTAAGCTTTGAAGAAGGACTACAGACCGATGTGAATGGCTTCTAGCAATCATAGGAAAAGTGTTGCTGTGTGTGCGCCTCATGTTTGGAACATTTGCAAAAATATATTCCTTCTTACGAACCTAACCAGATGGGAAAAATAGCAAGAGTTGGCTTATGTGTAAATTGCAGTCAGCAGGCAAATGAAAACAGAGACTTCAACTAGAGTTTATAGAGCCCAGATTAGAAAAGCTTGGCTGGTCACATTTAGACTGTGTTACCACCCATGACTATGTGGTGTTAGCCTGTGCCTCCTTTGTAATTAGCTGGACCAGCCAATTTGTCTAATACAGCAGGTGATCTTTGATAAATAGAGCTAGGTTCTTAAAAGCAGATCATTTGTTCTGGGGACTCTGCATTTCAGGATTATCTGGTCCCATCTTATTAGAATGTAACCCCCAGTCTCTAAGAGAAAGTATCTGGCTTAAATCTGAACCATGAGCATCTCAGAGGGCATAATGACCCTGCGGAAGCTTTTCTAGACAAATGGACAATGGCAGAGATTATGAAAAGGCTCCTTCCTCCCTCTGTGGATGCTAAGGTTGCGATCTTTGGAACCCAGTGCCATGGTATTCTTCCCTGCCCACCCACTCCCATCCGCTATCCTTGTTCATTGCTATATTGGTTTCCTAGGGCTGCTGTCATGAATTACCCCAAGCTGGGTGTCTTAAAACAACAGAAATTTATTCTCCCACAGTTCCGGCATCCAGAAGCTTGAAAGCAAGGTGTCAGCAAGGTCATGCTCCCTATGCAGGCTGTAGGGGAGAATCCTTTCTTGCATTCTTTTAGTTTTGGGGGGCTGCAGATGTTCCTTGGCTTGTGGCTGCATAACTCTACCTCTGTCTCCACCTGTCTGTACATGGCCTTCTCCTCAGTGTTCTCTTCAATTCTCTTTGCCTTCTCCTGTTCTTATAAGGATGCTTATCATTGGATTTAGGGCCTAGTTGGATATTCCATGGTAATCTTATCTTGAGATCCTTAATTGCATCTACAATACCCTTGTTCCAGATACGGTCACATTCACAGGTTCTGGGTAGACATCTTTTGGGGGCCACCACTCTACCCACTACGGATTCCTGCTATTCCTACACAAGGATTCCTACCATTGACAAATCTTAACATTTGTTTGCTTTCAGTTTTATAACCTAACTGAAGGAAGGCCCTAATACCACTTAATACTTTTCTCTTCTACAAGTACACGAATCAAAGGCAACTTTTCTGCTGAATAACTGAGTGGACACAAGCAATCTATGAAAGTATGATGCTAGGGAATTGCCAGGATGGCATTTCCACATTTATCTGACTTTCTTAGAAGCTTCCAGTTGCCATGTATGCTTTGTGAGAGAATTCTGTGCAGCTGTTCCCTGATGCTACTGGGGATTATTAACTAATTGCTGAATTAGTGACACATTTCAGGTACTGTGGTGTTCTCTAAGGAATCCAAGCAAGAAGAATTGAGGCATGGTACCCACCCCCTAGGAGTTGACAGTCTAATTGAGGAGCTGAAATTTATACACGTAAGAGATGCAAGCAATGATTCAAGGCAGATGGAAATAAGTCGTTGAAAAGCAGAGTAGGTAGTAAGTTGAGAGGAGACAGAGATTGTCCATGTTGGTAAATTGATCAGGGAAAGCTTCTAGAGAAGTTGGGGGTTTAAGCTGGATCTTGAAGTGCTTAGAGAGGAATGAGGCAGAATCAGGGGTGGAAAGAGGAAGTATTTCAGGGATGGTAAGTAGCACCAGCAAAAAGGTTGGGGGCTGACTGTGGTTGTTGCCAAAGCTTGAAAAACAATCATTAAGAACAGTAGGACTGCTGGGTCAGTAGCACCCTTGGGAGCAGGGCTGATGGGTGATGGCTGCATGTCTAAGATGGAGGCCTTAACTACTCTGGGCGGTGGGATCCCAAAGGCAGGCAAGAGCTCGGTGGATCTGCCAGGCTTCCTCCACCCTTTGTCTGAGCTTTGGACTCCTGGCATTCGGAGAAGCTTGCCCTGTATTCCTAGTGCTTCCAGATGCACAGACCCTCCTGGATTTTCCTTTCTAACTCCAACACACTCTTGTCTTCCTGAGTTCATGCCCGGCCCAGACACTGGAACTAATCCAGTAAATGGATTCAAATGTAGCATGAGGCCCAGGGTTCTCAAACTCAAATGCCTACAGGAGCCAGGCAGAAATTATTTTAAAATGTGCATCATTCATTCAGGCATAAGACAAAAGGAGGTAATGAGGCCTCTGGCTACTGCAGAATGAATACATAATGCCTGAAAGCATTCAAATTCAATTTAAAACAAAACAAAAACCTGTGTCCAATTTAGCACCTCACTTAGGCACACCTGGTTTGGCCTTGAGGGCCAATAGTGTATGATGAATTGGCCAAACCTATCCGGAATGTTGTGCCGGGCCCCTCTGGACTCCACTGGCAAAGACACCAGGTTCAAAAGGATGAACAGACCATCCAGAAATGGCAAATGAGACATGGGGTTTTACTGGGGCTTACATAAAGGGGAGAGAGTCCAGTGACAGCGGGCTAGACAGGAGAACCGCCTTGCATATAGTCCAATGGCGGTGAGCTGGACAGAACTCCAACCACTTGCAAAAGGCACGCGTTTTATACTCACTTAGGACCCTTTGCCTAATAGTCTCCCCCAGCAACCTTGACTTAACCCAAAACAAAGGGCATCGGTCTCCTATACAGCCTACATTCCCTGGGCTGGGCTGGGCTTCAGCTGTTTCTCATAGATAAGGAATGCACCTCCTGGTTGGCGACTCCCTGATTCCTTAGCTTGGAACTCCAAACCACACGCACATGTGTCTGCTACACAGGGTCAGCCTCAGGGTATGCTTAAGTTATTGCTATCTGGTGTGTTTATACCAGGGCAGTCCCTTGTTTAAATATGTCCATTGCCACCTGATCCTTGATCTCGAGGAGAGTGAATTTGACAGAAGAACCCTAAAACAAGAGTTTTGGTGTGGAGTCCCAATGCATAGATCAGGGCACAGGGAATCTAGGACAGCCCCTGGGCTGCAAAGAGCATGCCCTAAGGATGAACGACAGTGCTTTCTTTCCCCACAGGCCCTCACCCGAAGACCTCCATGAGCATTTTTCCTGAATTTCCTAGACCCTAAAGGGAACCTGGGGAAATAACTTTCAGCATTATGGGCATGAGCATGGAAACAGCCTTCTCATCTTTCTGGGCCTCTATTTACAGGCCTGCACATGGAGAGGCTTGCGGATGAAGACCTTAGAACAGTATAGGTTCTGGGGACCACTCACATCAGAGGTGACGGCGGAGTTTGTTTTCTAAATGCATATTTGGGGGGGCTCGAAATCCTACTAAAATGTAAATCTTAGTGGGGTCCATCCATTTTCATGCTTAAGTTTTTCAGGTGATTCTCATGAGGCCTCCCCGTTTTCATTCTAAATAAGCTCCCCAGGTGATCTGTATGGGCCTAGAATTTAAGAATCTTCACTCCAGCTAGAAAGCCAACTTCCGCCGACTTCTGCTGTGGAAAAGTGTCACTCGTCTCTGTCCCTACTCAGTGCTGCGCATCATCAGGAACTTTTACCGGGTGAGTTCTGAGGAGATACTGGGGTGTAGTAATGTTTGTGTGCCCAGCTTCTGCACGGCTCAGGGCACAATTAAGTTAAATCAAATTAAACGAATTTGCCTCGTATCTTGGCCAACCCCTAAATGTTACGAGCTATGATAAATAAGCCCCTGGTTGGTTTCCGTGGAAGGGAATGTTGACCTTGCTCCTAATGATACAAGCTAGGCTCATCTTAGATGTTTCAGGTTGCAGCACTGTACTTGAATAACTGGGACTGTCATTGCCCTGGTCAGTCATCACCTGGCTTTTGTTTCATTTCTTTAAATATTTAAGTCTAACAAAAATCCAAGAAAAAAACTTAGAATTGGGCAGAGTGGAGCTAGTACTGGTGATGCATTTGGCACTCCCCACAGCAAACCCTCGAGCTATTTATAGAAAACTGAAGTGTTTTCTTCTCCTTCCCACGTTTAATACTTTTAGTTCCCATCATTCTTGAAAGTTATTCTGTTTGTGCTATATTCCAATGGTGTGACCTGCTCATGCCTATGGTACAAAGTCTGAGTGGGCTTTGAGCGGAAGCACAGTTAGTTGGGGACTCGCTTTTCAAAGTACCTTCATTTTAGGAACACAGTTACCAAAAAGACAGGCATGGTCGCTGGAGGATGACAAGTCCTGGAAACTAGTGTCGCTAGCTGTGTGACTGACTTCCCAGGAAGCCAGGAAATGCTGTGCTCTTTCTAGCTTGGAGTCAGATATCTTTGGTCTGTAAGTAGAATCGCTAGGAACCACATTCCTGCTAGAATCTGGAGAGAAAATTATACTTCATTTTCTTATCCCTGTTGAGATAGTAGTACTAAGTGGGGATAGCTTATTCCCACTGGAGTTTTGGACTCAGGAGATTAAAATGAGCAATTCCAGTTCTGAAACTTAAATCATCTAGGGCTATGGAAGTGTTACTGGCGGCAAATCTGTAGCAACCTCAATTCTTGCTACCTCAGCAGAAAGACTTTTTAACCGAGGGCCATAAGGCAGCGTGAGAGGCTGAGGCAAGTTTTAGAGCAGGAAGGAAAAGTGTATTACAAAGCTTTACAGCAGGAACAAAAGGAATTCCACTTAGAACAGGGCCAAGCGGGTGACTTGAGATCAGGTGGGTGGTCTGACCTTTGGCTTGGTGTTTCATACGTGGTCATGTTTCCAGGCGGTTGCATCTCTCCTGCCCTGTTTCTTCCCTTGGAAGTGGGCTGTCCGCATGCGCAGTGGCCTGCCAGCGCTTGGGAGGGGAGCATGCGCACTGTGTTTACTGAAGTTGTGCAGATGCTCACTTGAGGAGTTTTCTCCTTACCGGTTGCGTATTCATATACCACTTAAACGCCATTTTGCATCTTAGTGCGCATGGTTGAGTCTACTCACCCAACTCCTGAGATCTTATTAGGAAACTCATCACCAGTTTCAGGCATTTTCTATTTACTGGGAAACTGCCTGGCCCTGGCTCCAACCAATGATTATTTTAGAGAGACAATTAGCAACTGCCTATCACCTGATGGTTGCCTGACATTCCTGGTTGTGGGAGGGGTAGCCTTCCCTGCTCATGTCTGCCTACCTACCAACTAAAACAGAAGGATGAGGTCTCCTGGAGAAACTGCCAAGGGCAGTAGGAGTTATGGGCAGCCTTGTGTAGGCCCTTCCTGCGAACTGTGGTGGGCCCCAGGAACACACCGAGCTCTTAGAACCAAGGATTCCAACCACCCACCACCTCCTGGGTTAACTGACTGGAACCTAATCTGCAACATACACCTCTGACAAACTGCATGGACTCAATGCAACAAGAACAGTCATTTTTGGGCTCACAGGCCCAAAGAGAGCCTTAAATCAAACCCAGCTGGGCGTTCCCAGCTTTCAGGTCGGGAGGTTGCTTATCCCCATTTTCTATAACTGATTCCATCTAACCATTAGACCCTGGTCTGGCTTTTCAGTATCCCCTTCTCTGGGTCAAGGCTGTGTGGCAAGACTGGCCTTAGTAGTTCCTTCTCTGCCTGCTGACTTCAGTCACACATGGCCCAGGTATTGAGCCATTAACTCTATGACCTGGGGAAGTATTTTTTTTTTTTTAAACTTTGTACTAATGGAGATCCACACAGGAAGGTCGAGAGTATTGTGGTTGGATTCTTTCTGGGGTGAATGAGTCTCGGGTGAGTGGGACACAGGATTGCTGTAGCATCCATTTCCTCCCCACTTCATTTCCACTGTATTAACCGTTCCCAACACTTTCAAAGTTCAAACCAACAGGGTGAGCTTTATGATTTGCCAGTAAACATTTTCCACATTTAGTCTCCAAGAATGTTTCTCATCGAAACTGAACAGGGGAGAAAGAAGTTGTTGCTGATCCCTGGATTTGTCTTGTCCTGTGTTTTGAGCCTCTGATTTGGACTAGGAACTGGAAGGAAGGAGGCAGAGTTTATAGAGGAAATGGGGTAAGGTAGAGAAATCATATTCCAACAGGAACAAGTTCCAGTCTTGGGGCAAAGCCAGGGCCCATTTGGGCTCAATGACTCTCGAAGCATTTCAGTTCAGCACATGTTTAACAGGGCATTTTTCCTTGAATTTTTAGACTTGTGTATTTTGAAGGAAATTGAAGCCGCATGGCCCTCATTCATTTACACTGAACTCATCAAAATCTTGTTTTGTAATGATTCTTTGATGTCCAAAGAGCATTGTGATCCTGTTTCATGGTCTTATTTTTTTCCTCTTTGAGAATTAGCAAACTCTCTCTTGCCAGCCCTAAAGCCGCTCCAGTTCCAAGCTGTTCACTCCCTGGTCTAAAGTGTTCTCCTCCTAGGGAGGTCACCCTTAAACAAAGCCCAGCAGTTTCAAGATGCCACTCTGATGCTTGGCAAATTGTGCTTGTCTTTCTAGTTCCATGGTTGTCGGGTGGATAAGAGGCAGAGTTGGGATGCCTGTAAGAATCTCACTGACTGCTTCATGCTTGATTGACTTATTGTCTTCATGTTAACTTAAAATGAAAAACTACAAACCATACAAAAGGAGAGAAAAGGGTATAATACAACTCCATGTGCCTTATACCCATGTTCAGCAATTACGAATTTAAGGCCATCTCATCTATGTCTCCTTTGTTTTGAAGCAAATCTCAGATGAAGTGTCATTTCATCTGCAAACATTTCAGCATCTATCTCTAAAGATAGATTCTTAAGAAATGTGACCACAATACTAATATCACACCAAAACAATAATTCCTTAATAGCAGATATCTAGTTTGTTTGAATCATGAGCTAAATACAATCTACACGTTGCAATCAGTCGCCACATCTCTTAAGTTTCTTTCCTCTTCCTCCTTTCCTCCTCTTCTCCGTTCCTCACCCTCCACCGATACAAAGGAGTTCTCGAGGTAAATTCTGAGGAATATAGCTTTGGCAAATTCCAAATACTGGGCTAGTAACTGAAAAAGAGAAAAAATAAAACAATGATTTTAATTTACTGTCCAAGTTGAAAGAAATGTAAAGCAAAGGTCCAAAACACTGAGCCTTGAGGTCTATGAATGTAATTGCAGTTTTACCCATGACCTTGTCCAGAAGTTTTAAGCGGAGAACTTATTTTTTTTTACTTTTAAGTTTGGGGGAATACATGTCAAGGTTGGTTACATAGGTAAACACGTGTCATGGGGGTTTGTACATATTTCATCACATAGTTATTAAACCCAGTACCCCATAGTTATCTTTTCTGCTGCTCTCCTTCCTCCTACCGTCCCTTTTCAAGTAGACCCCAGTGTCTGTTGTTTCCTTCTTTGTGTTCATAAGTTCTTATCATTCAGCTTCCACTTAAGCCTGCACCATTTGGTTTTCTGTTCCTGCATTACTTTGCTAAGGATAATAGCCTGCAGCTCCATCTATGTTTCTGCAAAAGATAGGATCTTGTTCTTTTTTATGGCTGCGTAGTATTCCATGGTGTATCTGTACCACATTTTCATTACCCAGTCTGTCACTGATGGGCAGTTAATTGATTCCTTATCTTTGCTATTGTGAATAGTGCTGCAACAAACACTTGCTTGTATATGTCTTTATAGAAGAACTATATTCCTCTGGGTTTATACCCAGTAATGGGATTGCTGGGTGGGATGGCAATTCTTTTTTTAGCTCTTTGAGGAATTGCCATACTGCTTTCCAGAAAGGTTGACTTAATTTACACTTCTTCCAATAGTGTGTAAGTGTTCTAATGGGAGAACTTTAAGAGAACGGAGAAATATCTCCATAGGGCAATAATCTCGTAACTTCTTGATCACAGACCTTTATCAATCAATACATTTCTCATTGCCTGTCAATGCATAGTTATCTGTTCATAAATTATAAACATATACTACTACATTAATACGTCCATGATAAAACAGGCACTAAAACATTGTTAAAGAATAAATAAATAAATAAAAAACCTAAGAGTTCCATGAGAATCTGCTCACTTTCAGGGCTCATTGATAAAACAGATTCTTTAAAGTCAATGGAGGAAAATTGCTCACTGCCAGTCTGTGGGGTTGATTTTTGAGGGAATGGGACAGGAAATTGTCTCCTTCTGCAGGCCAAATAAAACTTGGTGGGCCAGGGAAGCAGACATCTTTTTCTCATAGTCTTAGTTTCCCCACCTTTTTTTTTTTCCCTTAACAATCACTCCTTCTGTTCGCCCATGTGGCCCCACTCCTGTCCAGCTTTCTCTGAGGCCCACCTCCCCCAACCACACCTGCTTTCATCAACATCAAGAGTAGAACTGGAGGATCCAGGTTTGTGAAACTTGAGATGTTCAGAATTTGAGCCCTTTTATTGAAAAGGAAGATAAAATTGTGAATTCACAACTGGTAGGTTCCCATCAGGGTCTTCGAAAGGCACATGCATGCCAGGAACCTCAAACCATATTCATCAACCTCACAGTCACTTCCCTCCTGCAGAGCTCTGAAGTACCAACTTCCCCTTCCTTTCTTTCTGACTCCCTTCTCCTGCAGAACCAGCTCTGGGAATTCTGGTACCCTTCTAGCCCATTTCTCCTGTGTTTAAGTCTCATATAGCTAGAGATGGAGCTGTCTTCCCGGTTGCCCCTTGAGCCAAGAATGCGCCTGTGAGCCTTTCCTCACTTTCTTCCTTCATTAGCAGCTCTGCCCAGAACATAAGAGGGAGAGGCCAGGGACCCCAGAAGCAAGTCCATTTGTCATCCTGAGGACTGTAATCCAGTGGCTCTCTGATGAAGGTGAGAAGACCTAGAAATTCAAGTCTGGAGTTAGACTGGCCCCAGTTCCTACATAGTCTCTACCAGCCATGCAAACTTGGAACTTAGCTTCTCTGAACTTTTCTTACCTATAAATGGGAATAACACTTACCTCACAGGCTGTTGTGAAATTGTGTAAAGCATCTGATGCAGTGCCTGGTACATAGGAAACCCTTAAATTGTGGATTTTACTATGAGTAATGGAGGGAGTTAGAATACATTTCATCAGTTCTAAGACATACTTCTTATTGTCTCCTGGAAGCAGCTTCCATCTTAGAATTCACAACACCATGAAGATAGCGGGCAGTGTCTATCTTTCTTGGTTATCTGTAAAAATAATGGTGTGCCTTACAATAGACATAGTCTTCAATATGATGTAATTTGGTAACAGCTAACTTCATCCACAGTGAGCACAGGTGGACTGAGATCAATAAACTGGAGTTCCTGCAACCATACTGTCTCTTCCTCCCTCTCTCACTGAAGAGGCAGGGAAATGGCCAACTTGGGCTGAGAAAGGGGTAACTAGCTTAGGGGGAAGTCCATGGAGAGAGGCGTGAGCTCCTTGTCAGTGACTGAAGCCTGGCGTCGCGTGCAGCTCTGCCTCCACAAGTGGGTGGGTCTTTACCACATTTGCCAGTCTCTTGCCTCTGCCCCCTACTCCTTCCCCAGCAATTTAGCTCCTTTCTGCCCTCACACTGCAGCTCTTTCCTATTTCCTCCTTCCCCAGTTTGAAGAGGAAGACTGAATCCAGCATGTTGCTTGGCTGCTGGTGTCTATGGCCCAGAATCATAGATTTTTTAGAGCCTAAGAAGAGCTTGGAGATGATTTAGTCTAATTCCCCTATTTTATAGATGAAGAAACTAAGGCCTAATATTTACCCAAATGACTCAGCCCTGCCAGTAGCAAGCTATGTGACCTTGAACAAGTCATGACATTTTTTTTGGAAACAATGATAAAGCATTCATCATTTTATGAAATGTGTCCTCAGGAAGCAATAAAATT